GCCTGCGGCCGACGCGGGGCTGCGGTCGGCGCCGCTGCTGTCGGTGGCATCGGCGTGCATGCTGCTTCCTGGGCCGCTAAGGACAGGCACATCTCCTGCCCTGCGGTCCCCCGGGGCCGCCCTGGACGGCGGCCTCTGCGCGGCGCCTCCTCCCCTCGCCGCTCCCGCCGCCGCTCCGGAGGCACCGGGAGTCCGCGCTCATGCCTCACCACGGCCCACGGAGGGAACGGCTCCAAAAGACGCCGCCGACTCCTTCAGCGACCCCTCAGAGCCGCCAGCCGGCGCTCCGGGGGCGCCCGACCGTTTTGTGACTGAAGCGGGCGAAGTCTGGGAAGCCTGAGGCGGAGCGGGGGCGGGGCGGCCCGCGTGAGTGACAGCTGGGAGCCCCGCCCCGCCCCGCCCCACCGCGAGCGGCTGAAAACCGCGCCTCCGCCGCTCCTCCTCGCCCCCCAGGACGCGGTCTGTTGATGGAAAATTTTGCTGCAGGTGTCAAGCCTTGGTAATTCTCGGGCTCAGGTGATCGCTTAATTCTTTCTCTCCGCTCATCACCTACAAGTTACCTTCTCGCGTTGTTCTCAGCCTCCCAAATTTCTGCCTCGTTTTCACCCGCTGTTTAATCAGGCAACATTCCTGACCCTCACCTTCACTTTCAAGACAGTCTCCTCTGACGCCCTTCCCTCCCCACCCAGAAGCCTGCGATTCTTGGTTATGGGAAAGGCCCAAAGAAGTATGCTTGGTGCTACAGGGTGTACACAGCTGCCACCGTCACTTTGGCTCCAATTCCCTGCGTTTGTGTTGCCAGCGATTCAGTACAAAAGCTATTACTCACGCAATGAATGTGGTCCAAATAATTTTTAGAGTAAATACTTTCCTCTTCTACCAGGGCCCCATCCATAAAGATTTACAGCCTTGGAAGCCCTATGGGGCAGTTCTAATCTGTCCTGTAGGGTTGCTACGAGTCGGAATCGCCTCGACGGCAGAGTTTTCTATCGTGGTCACAGCCGTTGATGTATGCTACACACACCAATTACTGCTAGAACCACTAAAGCAGCAGATGTAGATTAATGGATAATGGAAGTGGAAGAATTCTAAAGAGATTAGTGATTATTCAAAACGGAAATGATAGCCTAGAGAGGGTGAATTAAGAATGGAAAGAGGAAGACAAGGGAAGGGGAGGCAAACAGATGAGGGACCTAAACCAAACCCACTGCTATCGAGTCGATTCCGACTCCTAGTGACCCTATAGGACAGACTACAACTGCCCCCATAGGGTTTCCAAGGCTGTAAATCTTGACGGATGGGGCCCTGGTGGTGCAGTGGTTAAGAGCTACAGCTGCTAACCAAAAGGGCGGCAGTTCGAATCCACTAGGTGCTCCTTGGAAACCCTATGGGGCAGTTCTACCATGTCCTATAGGGTCGCTATGAGTCGGAATGGACTGGACAACTGCAAGTTTGGTTTGGTAATCTTTACTCAAGCAGACAGCCACATCTTTCTCCCGCAGAGCGGCTGGTGGGTTCCAATCGCTGACCTTTCGGTTAGCAGCAGAGCCGTTAACCACTGTGCCACCAGGGCTCCTTGCTTGAGGGAAGCAATGAGAAATAAAGACTGTATTTAAGGATATGAGAAACATTTAAAAGAGCCCAGAACTCTCTCCATCAGCTGTAATTAAGAATTTCAAGGTTTTAGAAGAGCAATTGTTTTCCAATAAATTGAGCTTTATCTTGCTTCCAAGGGAACATACTTAAAAAAAAAAAAAATGAAAATATATTTTCAGATACTATGACTATATTATGTTTATCTATAAGGAATAATTCCATCTGTGAATAAGTTTGTTAACATGTATTTCAGCAAAGAAAAAATGCAACAATCAAACAAAATAAGCTTTTAAAACAAAAGGTATTATCTAAGAGGCTATTATTAGAAGGGAAAAATACTGGTGTTCATTAACATACACAGCCCACCTATGTACTCAATCATGTCTTCATAATAAATTTCCCTGGAATGACATGGATATCAAGTATGAGATCAAGAAGTCTAAAAAATTATCCCTAACATTTAGCTCTTCACGAAAGAGTGCAGAAGTGAATTTTACCCTTCGATAGCTATAAAATGTTTTCACATCTGTCATTTTTTAAAAGCTTTTTTGTTTTTAATATTGATTGGTATTCATGTGGTACTTTATTTTCTATTATACTTTATAAATCAAAAATAAGGTGATAAGTAATGCCTTATGCCAGATGTCACTTTGCCATGCCTCGGTGATAATACCATAAGAAGTTACTACTTTCTGGTTCTTCTCTCCTTCCTCTTTTTTTATTTTGTTTTTTAACAAAGCGCATAACTGATTTTAAAGGAGCCCTTTTGCTTCTAAAGCCTTCTCAAAGTGTACCCTGTAAATCCAAATCATTTCCATTAAACACAGCAGCTTCTTATTACCAAGAATCATAGCTACGTTTTTTAACATTTACATGCCTGGGACTATGTGCTAAAGGCTTATGTACATTTTCCAATTTAAACCCATAGCTCTCAATAATAGGAATTAATGAAGCATTTACCATGTGTCAGATACTGTTCTAAGAACTAGACATGCATTTCTTCATTTATTATTCACAACAACCTGATCGATACAATTCTCTTGATTAGACATGTGAGAAAACTGAGGCATTACAAAGCTAATAACTATCAGAGCTAGGATTTGGTTATGACCCCTCTGGTCTGGCTTCAAAGCTTTTGCATTTAACTGCTATGCCATGGTGCTTCCTGCGATTTAGTCATCTCATCCTACACATGGGGAGGCGGGGAGACAAGATTTAAATTCATGCGTAAAAGCATTGTTTAGTTTTGTTGCTTTGTGAGAATAACTAGCATCTTAGCTAGCCCCCTCACAAGTGCTAAGTGATTATAACTTGAATTAATAAAGATGTTGATTTAGAGCCCAGGTCTGTAAATCTTAAGACCATGATCTTTCCAGTACACCAATATATTGTTCCCAAAAGAACTGAGTATCAAGAAAAATGTGCATCTGTAGATAGAAAACTACCTCAAAGCATATTGCTGCTAGGTCAGCATCAGCACTTCATACATTTAATTAACAAATAGTAATTGGGCCTCTAGGATGCTAACCAGAAGTTCAGTGGTTCGAACCCACCAACTGCTCCAAGGGAGAAAGATGTGGCAGTCTGCCTCTGTAAAGATTTATAGCCCTGGAAATCCTATGAGGCAGTTCTACTCTGTCCTATAGGGTCACTATGAGTAGGAATCCACTCAATGGCAATGGGTTTTATGGGTTACCCTGTGCAAAGTTTGAGGAACACCAAGAGGTATGATAAGGAGGTACTGAAGGAGGTGAGCTCCTAAGGCAGCTTTTAAATGAGAATCCAGGGCTTTGAACTGGTTATCTTCAGTTCGACCCCCTACTGAGAATTTTCCTTTCAACCCCAGATATACTGAATCAAAAACTACATTTTAACAAGATCTGCAGGTGATTCTTATGTCACGCCCCCCATGGACTTCCTCCTATACCAGACCATGCAGAATCCTTAGTAATGTTTTTTGTACTAATGTTACTCGTAAATCCCATGTATCACTCCTTTTCCTTTCATTACTACTTTTCTCAAAAAGTTATTGATATATAGGTTTACAAATACTAATTACCACAATATTGTAGCTAAAACACCAGAAAATTTTACAAAATCAGAGACTATGAAAACCAGCAGCAACTAAAACAGCAGCACCTGCTTGTAGCACGTGAAGACCAAAACCACGCAATTCGAAGCATCATTGTAATTGGGTAATAATGACAGCTCTGACTGGAGTGCGTTAAAAAAAAACAAACCAAACCCGTTGCAGTCAAGTTGATTCCGACCCTATAGGACAGAGTAGAACTGCCCCACAGGATTTCCAAGGAGAGGCTGGTGAATTCGAACTGCGGACCTTTTGGGTAGCAGCCGAGCTCTTAACCACTGTGCCATTAGGACTCCAAAGAAAGCATCATTAGAAGGTTCAAAAAGTAAATTAGCATAGACTTTTAGCCTTGTAGGTATATCGATACAGTAAGCTGGGCTTATCAAAAATGTTTTTGTTATTATAACTAACTACAGGGATATTTTTATAAAAATAAATAAATAAATAAATTTCTGCTGAAACACTGCACAAAAATTTTATAGTCATTTTGGTGTCACCGCCTCTGACAGTGTCACCCAGTGTGGTCCACACCCCCCCACCCCGTGATGCCACTGAAGGAAGCCCACCTTCAGCTGGTGCCCCCGGCTAGGTAGGCTTAGTCTGTTGTTGTTTTTAGTTGCTTTTGAGCTGATTCTAACTCATAGCGCCCCTATGTGTGTCCTAGAACTGTGCTCCATGCAGTTTTCAAGGCTGTGACCTTTCGGAAGCAGATGGCCAGGCATGCCTTCTCAGACGTCTCTGGGTGGGTTCCAGCCACCAACCTTTTGGCTAGTGTTTGAGTGCTCCACTGTCTGTGCCATCCAAGGAGTTTATTGTTGTTGTTAGGGGCCGTCAGTCGATTCCGACTCGTAGGGAGCTTGTTAGGTGGTTTGAAAAACTCTGCTAAACATGCTTCCACCTAGAACCTTAGCTGAGGGACGCTGAAAGTCCCTCCCGCAGTCATTTTTATATTCCAAAGCCTAACGAAATGCTGCGTGGAACGCAATGTAGATTTAACCCTGCTAACAAACATCAAGGAGCCTCAGTGGTGCAGTGGTTAAGTGCTCAGCTGCTAACTGAAAGGTCCTGGGAGGTTGGTGGTTCAAACCCAGCCTCTCCTCGGGAGAAAGATGTGGCGGTCTGCCTCTGTAAAGATTTACAGCCTTGGAAATCCTACCTGCCCTATAGGGT